GGAAGGAGGACAAATGGCAACTGATAACAGAAAGGAAGAGGAGTAAATGCTGTTACACTGTGGTGATGGCAGGCAATGCTGTGGGGGGGAAATGTACCAAAACTGTCCAGTGCGCACCTTTATGAAAAGATCACTGAAGATGTGGACACTATAGCAACGTGTAGTAAAGAAAGTAGATGGTGTCCAGCTATTAAAAAGAATAGCTATCTAGAGTCTTAAGGCTTTGTCTTCAAACAAACTCCCACCTAAGTGAGGTGGGACGTAAGTGCACATGGAAGAAGCACACCAGCCTGTGTGATTCAAGAACTGTAAATAATAAAATCCAAGCCCAGAGTGGGGAATGGTAGTAGGGCTTAAATTGTGACTATCCAGTTTGCAGAAGGTAAAAGGGAAAGTCTCAAATCCATTTGCAGGGTCCCTACATGGACTAAGCCTCTGTGAGTCCCCTCTGACAACATGTTATCAGGGATGTGAACAGCATTATTATCATCAGAGAGCATTACTGTATTTGCTAGTGACATATGTGTTTTCTAAAACTCAATTATGGCAGATGTAGTGAGGTCTAAAGGTAATACCTTATCATTTGATCTCCCTTTTGACTCATGTTAAAGTTGATTTACATGAAAAAATAAGTGAAGCGGATTGAGCCCCTAGTGAATCCCCTCTGGCCACAGACCGGGGATGTAAATATATACAGAATTCATTGGCAAGTGGAATGCTGCAGAAGGCGTTAGGTTAAAATCTAACACCTTTTCATTAGATCTTCCCTTTTACCCATTTTAAATTGGTTCTAGTTTTACTATTTTCTTTTATTTACAATTCAAGTTTTTCTCTGGCTTGTTTTGGTATTGTAGTTGGGGTATTGTTTTGCTGGGGGTTTTTTTTGGGGGGGGGTATGTTTTCTGTGGTAGTTATATAATCGTTTGTCAATTTGAGGATTAAAAGTGAAGGGGTAGAGTCTAGTCTGTCAATCAAGGTATAATCAGTGAGGCCTCTGTGTGGCCATGGCCTTCTCCTGAGAATTCTGGCAACTCCTGTATTTCCTCCTTGGATGCGGGAGACACTTCTCTCTCTGCTCACTCTCTGAGAGACACCCCACTGACATGACACATGGCACTACGCTGATAAACCCCGTGCCCTGGGAACTGGAGTAGCCACATGGAGACCCCTGTCAGCGCTCAGACGCTTCTACCGCCACTGGATCCCCAAGACTTTGCACCCACTGGCATGTGACATCATCGCATGTATTTTGTGAGTCTGAAGAGGATTTTATAGATTGGTATTGGGCATATGGGCTAATATCGGACTTATGGGCTTGATCTGGACTGGGCTGGGATGTTTTCTTAATGTATAGTTGCTCTTTTATATAAAGCTCTTTCTTTTCCATTTACATATCATACCTTTACATTTGTTTCTGATTTAGAAATAGTTAGCAATATAAAATGTGGACAGGAAATAAACAGCCTTGTGAAAAAAACAAACAAATAAATAAATAATAAAGCTCTTTCTTATACATATATGAGTCTCTCTGGATTTGTTTCTCTAGTCCAACCAGACTAACACTTTTCCAATATATGAAATCCAGGACAGGTAAATTTATAAAGACAGTAGCTGGAGTAATGATTTACTGGGGGTATGCAAAAGAAGGTTTGAGGGAAACGGGGAGCTAGCTAATAAATGTGAGTACAAGAAAAATGAAGATGTTCTAGAATTGATTGTAGGGATAATTGGGGTTTTTTCTGTTTTGTTTTTGTTTGAGATTAACTTGTTTGTCACTAATAACTTGTCACCAAAGACTCGAAGTTCATTTCAATTTTACTTTTCTTCTTCTTCTTTTTCAAACCATTCAAACTATTTAAGTTTGAGGGATAAGGATCAGGAGAGATTTTCTTTGTTAAAAAAAGAAATATACTCTGTATATTTACACAACCCATCTCGAGAAATGAAATCAAGAACAATATTCTATTAAACCCTCCATACGTTGTTCTTTTGCTCCCCCCAAACTTGCTACATCTTTGATTATAGTGTAAATGTCTGAACAATTGAAGTGTGTGATATGTAAACTATGTTTGTTAAAAGAAACTATTTAAAAAGTTAAAAAATTAATTCAAGACCTAGAAACTGACTAGCCATCAGGACTGACTAAAGTCTTAGGACCACAGTTTCAAGGGACATTTAGGTCAATTAGCAAAACACAGTTCAAAAAGATCGCATTTCCTGGTGAGTAGCACTTCGGGTCTTATAAACTATAGAGTTCTGGCAAGATGGCAGATTAGACAGGCATTCTACACACACCCTCTACAACAACGACATGAGAGAATAAGTGAAAGGAATACAGATAATAATCCTTGTTCCCTGAGCTTCAGAGAAAAGGATAAAGAGGATTAAATGCCAACTGGGGGAAAAAGCTGAACAAAATCACCAAGTGCAGAGATACACAGAGTGTAAACTGTCAGCCTAAATAACAATCGTGGAGACGGTGCGGGGCAGGGCAGGGTTTGTTGAGGGTTACAATGAGTTAGAACAGACTTGATAGCACCATGCAAAGCAGAGGAAGCAGAGGTGCCTTGGGGGTGGGGGTGGGGGGTGGTCACGAAAGATGAAGGTTGAAGCCCCATCTAAAATCCAGGCCGAGTAGTCACTACCCAGAGTCCGGAGGGTGGAGACACTGCCATCCTCTCCGAGAAGAGAAGTATTATGGCGCCTCAACAGCGAGTGTAAATTGTGCTGCTGGGTTTTGGACATGCTTGGTACCCTTTATCACCACTTTCCCTCCAATTTGTAATGGAGATGTCCATCTTGCACCTGTTGCACTACTGTACTCTGGAAATAGGTAACCTGTATTCTAGATTCCACAGGTTCACAGATGAAATGCAATTGTGTTGTGTGTTGAACGCAACTAAAGTCTCACCTATATGTAACTTAGATCACTTAGAAGATAAGCTTTTGAACCTGGAGCTGATTTAAGACATGAAGGATGAGGTAACAGGATGAGTATCTTTTGCATGAGAAGGACATGAATTTTGGGAGGCCAAAGAGTGAAATATTATGGATTGAATTGTACACCCCTCTCTCTGCCACCCCCAAAATGACTATGCTTCCATCCCATTTGGGAATGGAATGTCTTTGTTGTACTAATGACGTTCCCCCAGGACAGAAGCTAGGAGACAAAGCCTTCCTCCAGAGTTCATGATGAAAGCCTTCCCACAGAGCTAGCACCCTGAATGTGGACTTCTGAACTCCAAGAAAATTAATGTATCTTTGTTAAAGCCACTTACATGTGGCATTTGTTATAGAACACTAGATAACTAAGACAGGCAGGAAACTGTCAAAGAAGGAAAATTCAAATATTTTCCACCAAAGAAAGCAAGATTAAAGTGATACAACTTCACCCTACCAAAGTCTGAAAACCCGAGACCCGAAAGGGAAGCCCTGGTGAGTTTCAAGCTCTCACAGCCTCTACCATAACAGAAAACCCTAAAGAGCCCACCGATCACAAAGCTAGTGGAGCGAATGAATTAATTTAGCAGGGTACAAGATCTAAAATCAATATAGAAACTTCAATTTCATTTCTATATGCTTATGAAGAGAAATCTACAACTGAAATTAAGAAAACAACTGTATTTGCAATAGCATCACAGACAAGAAAAAACCTGATAATAAATGTAACAGATTAAATGCAACAGTTATACTGCAAAAACTATAAAATATTGTTCAAATAAATTAATAAGCCAATTAAAGGGAAAGATAGACCATGTTTACAAGGATGCTTCAAAAAGGAAAATCTAAAAAAAAAAAGCAAAGGAAAATCTATTATCTTTTAATTCCATTTTCCCACAAACTTACTGAAGCATCCCTCATATGGATTAGAAGAATGAATATGAATATGTTCTGGAGGGGGAGGGAGCATTAGATCTGACTGTGGTGTGCATATACAACAATTTTCAGAAGCAGTTTAACTATAAAAGTGTATGATACGTGAATATTACTGTAATGCTGGGTCAGGTACTGGTGGGAGGGCATTGGCAAAAGCCTGCCTGCCCCTAACGACCAAGGTGGATAATTCCAAGGGGGCTGCAGATCAATGAGCTGTCTGCCCAGGACGATCAAAGCACCACCCTACCTTGGAATTTTTATGGATGGAGGCAGCTTACAGCTCCTGCAGCTGTAACTCTTTCCCGCTCATTTGCCCACCTGCGGTTTCTACCCCCTCCCTTTATTGCTCCCTCCCTGACCAGTTCAAAACTGGTCCACCACAGATAGGTGCTACTTCTTGGGTCCTCCCAACGAGGGCCCCTGGGGCTCGCACCATATCTCTACCCTTTCCCTTCTCTTCTCTCCCACCCAGCCTCTATCTGCCTGCCCTCCTCCTCCTTTCTTCCCATTTTCCTCCATTCTAGAAATGCTGCTCTCTTCTGGTGCATCCATTGGCCAGTGTCTCTTTGTACATCTGCCCTCACCCCATCCGGCTTACAATACCCTCCCCCAGGACACTTCATACTTCAAGGTATCTCATTTATTTACTGATTTCAATCTTTCTCTCTCATGATTTCAGTCGATAAAAAAGCACTTTCTAGACGATGGGACTTAAACTTTGTACACTGACTCAAAGGTAAATTTAACAACAAAAGCACTATCTTTTTTCTCATCCTCAATTCTAGTGAAACAAATCCATTTAATCTTTGTATTCTCTCCCTTCCCTTTTTAAAAAAGGAAGCAATTTCCAAGCACCCTTCCCTTGTGACTGAGCTTTAACCCATTTGTTTTCCCATCAGTGGCCCATGTCAGAAAGAAGAACAAAAGTAAACGCCTTCTTCCCCACCTACACTTCATCCACTTTCATCTGCCCTGATTCCATCCCCGTCATGGAGGAAGGAGCCACCGAACCAATAAAATGGGGCAGAGAGCAATGAGGAGACAGGAAAGCTCTGACCAGGACACCAGTTAAAGAACAAAGCCTTATATTTGTATTCTCTACTGTCCATGAACAAGTCTCTCACCAGAAAGATGTCTGCATAGCCAGCCAAGGACTCCACCCCTTCCTGGATCCGTGCTCCTCCAGAGTCATTCAGTCCAATCACCGGAGCCCCCACTGTCAAGGCCTGGTCCATGATCTAAGACAGCACAGAAATCTACTGTGAGACTCCTCTTGTACCAAAAGCAGTACTCACCATGCCCCACAGGGTTTGCATGAAAATGTTCAAGGTGCACCTTTCAATGCAAGAGACAGCTAACTCTAGTTTCAATCCTCATGATGACTGGGCACCTTCATGGAAGGCAGAGGACCACAAGATTGACAAGCTTATTAAAGTCTCCAAACAGCAAAGTACCATAGCATTTCCTATTAGCATGGGGTTACGAGTGATCACATCCACCATGTCTAGAATTGCTGGGCAGGCAGTAACACTTGTACCATTTTTCAGCAGGAAGTTACTCTTTGGAAGAACTGAGAGTAGACAGGATGACAAGTAGTATTTGCGTGGCGGCGGATGCTGACCCGTCTGTAAACCTAAGGCCAGTCCAGGCCACTTTTACATCCAATGTGACAGAGTTTCCTCAAGGGGCAGCGGTCTGGAGGCATAATGAGCAGTATTCCTACAGTTCTAGACAGGTCACAAAGCTCTTTCACGTCCATCATCTCACTTAACCTTCATAACAGAAGCAGTAAAAAAAAAATAAAACAGGAAGGTTTAAGTGATTAGTCCAAGATTTCAGGAACATGGTAAGGCAGGGACATATCTAAGACCCAGGTATTCCATTACATAGGACACCCTCAGTCAACTTGCCTTACTTCCCAAATTTTCCACATGGCCTACAATTTTATTCTGATCTCAGTCTCTAATAATATTTTTTAAATGCCATCTCATAATCCTAGTATTACTCTTTACCTTTTAGCAACTAGACTTATCACATAGATGGGCTCTCATTACCTGTGATCCTTGGACCATAAGAGATGTGTGAATACATTTCAAGGGTCCATGAATTTACATGGGAAAAAAGTGTCTCTCTCGCTTTAATAACTAGCTGAACACAAGCCTTTCCTTCCATTACTAGTAAGAGCAACAAGCCGCAGAACTGCTACAAATACCTGTGACGATCATGAATTGAAGCCATGGACGGTTTTATGTACTATTAAAATTGCTGCTGATATTTGGAAATATCATTTTCACTCATCTCTGCTTTTAAATTACATGTTATTAGATCCACTGCTAAATATTATTATTTAGCACATAGGTCACTGTATTACAAATATAGTTTTCAAAAATTACTTGTAATCCTTTCTAATCTTAATATTTATTTTATGACTGCATTCTGAGATGAACGTTCATGGTTCCCCAGCCTGCCAAAGGGATCCATAGTACAAATAAACGTTGGAGAAGCTGTGCCCTGGACTGAAAGCAACTTCAGGTCCACATCACACCTTGCTTCCACGGCCTCACCCCAGCTACCCAGCCTGTCTCACACCCCAAGGATACTTTTAACAGGCGTGCTGTGACTAATGAAAGGACGGAGTTCCTTTGGCATACAATAGTCCCCTGATCCATGGCTTCACTTTCTGCAGTTTCCAGTCAATCTGAAAATAGGACCGCCTAACACGACATCATAGTGCCTCCATCATTCCCCTCACTTCATCTCCCAACTCTTATGAAAGCCTATTGTTATAATAGCGCTATTCTTATTACTAGTTCTTGTTGCTCATCTTTTATTGTGCTTAATTCACAAATCAAACTGTATAGAGGTATGTACAAGGGAGCTTCAAAAAGTCCATAGAACTATGAATTAAAAGATAATGGGAATTTTTCCACAATCTTTTTGAAGCCCTCTCCTGCAGGTATGAAAAACATATTAAACACAAAGTTCGGTATTATCAGCAGGTTCCAGTATCCACAGGGAGGTCTTAGAGTATCCCCCATAAATATCCCTCAGGGGTGGAAAAGGGGACATTACTGTAAACACTTACTTTACAGATCTTTTGGGCATGCACTCCTGATAGACTTCCTCCAAACACTGTGAAGTCCTAAGAAGAAAACCAATAAGTCCAATAAGAGTGGTCAGAAATTAAGAAATCAGCAGGATAAAAGTGAAATTGAACAAGGAAGTTTCTAAAGAATTTTCAGAAGATTAAAATATCGGGGAGAATCTGATATATAAATTAAACCACAGAACAGTGAATGCAGTCTGAAGGTGATGATGGCAGCATATGCACAAACGTGCTTGACATAATGGATGAAGGTATGGATTGTGATAAGAGCTGTAAGAGCCCTCAATAAAGTACTTAACTGAAAAAAAAGAAAGGAAGAAAATTTTACAGGGAGTCATGTATTACTACCTAATCTTTGTTCTACAAGAAAAATTTGTCGCTTTGAGGAAAGGAACTTTTTGCATGCGAAATTAAACTGAACATTAGATTGTATGCAAGTGAAGCAGCCAGGCGTCTCTGTTGCTAGGAAGTGTGCACTGCTCCAACAAGGAGAGGCGACGGCGAATCAGAACCTCACTGCTGCCTCTGCTTTGGACTTTCATTACCTGGCGTTGAGGGCATTTTGAGGACATGACCTCCTTTCCTACAATTCCTCCAAAAGCCAGTGGGGAATTAAAAAAAAATCAACCCAAGAAGGCCAGAGAGAGAGAGAAGCAGCTGAACAGATATGAGAGGAAGAGAAAGCCCAAGAAGAAGTAATGGCTGACTTCCAAAACTCCAAACTCACTGCTGCCAAGTCCATTCTGCCTCACAGCAGCCTTGCAGGGTGGTGTAGAACTGTCCCTGTAGGGTCCGAGAGTATATATCTCTATGGAAGCAGAAAAGCTCATCTTTCTCCTGTTGAGTGGCTGGTGGATTTGAACCACCGACCTTGTGGTTAGCGGCCCAAAATGTAGCCCAGTACCCTCCCACCCCCACTCCGGGCTCCGTAATACCTGACTTAAAGGGAGAAAATGGAAGCCCACAGGCCTGTTGAAAACCCAGGAACCACGGGAGGGGTGGGGATAGGGAGAGATGAGACTGAAGACCGATTCATAGAAAAATACGTGTTAGGGAGCAGTTAGTCTTTCCTTAAGCCTGAGAGAGAAAAAGATCCTCTAAAAAATATGTAAACAAGGGCAAGTGGGGTAGAAAGGGGGAACCGACTACAGGGATCTACATATAACCTCCTCCCTGGGGGTGGGACAACAGAAAAGTGGGTGAAGGTGTGAGAAACAAGGTTTTCTCCCAAGTTGTCTCCCCCAAGTATATGGCAAACTTAGCTGCTTGCGAATGACTGTACACTTAGAGGTCATCAGGAGTAGCCATCTAGAGCAAGCAGACCCCACTGTCTAGCCCACAACAAGTAGGGACCACTCCCTTCTGATAAGGACAGTAGTTGTCTGCTTCCTCATAGGAGACACCAGAGAGGTCAACCCCGCCCAAGGATGACCAAGGTTAGGCTGCCATCATGAATCTAGGGTCCGCCCATCTTGTCACATGTATACCCCTAGACCTTCCCATTCCTATGGGCACACCCCTAGCTCATCCACTTCCTGTTCTGCTTATGCCTATCATAGATCCCCTTCCTACAATGTGTATACCTATTGTACTGCCCTTCCTGTGATGTGTGGTTACCTATAATCATATCCCCCTAATGAGAGATAACCCTTGGTTAGCAATAAAGTGGGGGCTCTCCTGCTCTCGCTCCCGAGGCTCTCTCCTGCTCTCGTGGCCGGGCTCCCCCTACGAGGA